CTGCCCGTCCTGCGTCTCCGCTCTAGCCTCGATCCCTGTCCGCGTCACTGCGCCAGTCAACAAACTTTCTGCCTTGTTGAGGGTCCAGGGTTCAGGGAGGCACGGGGCTCACGGTCCCTGACGCTGTCTGTCTCTCGAGCCCGCACTGCCCCGCGTCCTTCTGGGACCGGCTCTGCTCCTGGAGAGCAGCCTCTTCCTTGCTCTGCGTCCGTGAATTTCCATGACTGCGTGCTCTGATGCGCGTCTCCATCTGTATCACCTCTCTGGGCCCTGATGTCTCTGCCCTCTCGGGGCTCTGTGGCTCCGTCCCCCGGCCCATCTCAGAGTCACCGTCGGTCTTCTCCTGCCTGGGTCCGGTCTCGGCCGCCCTCCCGCAGGGAGTCTGGCCTCTGCCCGCGCGCTCTGTCCCTAGGGGTCTCCTGAACCTGCACCTCTCCCTGCTTCCCGGTGTCTCTCCGTCGCGGGGTCTCTCGCCCGTTTGTGTCTTCTGGTGACTCCCTCGGTTTAAAGGGTTCGCCCCTCCGTACCCCCGCCCCCGGGAATCCACGCGCCCAGCGGCGCACTAGTGGTCCAGGGGCTCCCCCTCGCGGCCCAGCCCACGTCGCGCTCCGCCCTACCCCAGCCCCGAGAGCTTCTGGGTCCCGGCTCCCTCTGTTGCCAGGGCAACCCGACAGCCGGAGCCGCGGTGTATCCTGGTCCTTGTAGTCCTTCGGTAGCCCCGGCCGCACTCGGGGAGCATTCGGGGAACTTCCTCTCCCGGCGTGCCCCGCGCGGGGGCGGGGCTGGGCACGAACCACGGCTCACCTAGGGCTGCGTGTGCTTACGGGTGTGGAACCGAAACGCCGGTGGGGCTACCTGAGTCTGCTCCTGAGCGCCTGGCCTGCCGCCTGCGGGCCTGTTGGCTCTGGAAATGGGCTCAGGAGTCCCCGCTTCTGCTCCAGCTCCCGGGCTCTTTCCGCTACCTCCGGTTCCATCGCGGCTCTTCCGGAGCCTTCTAGGGGGCTGCCCAGCACCGGGTGGGCAGTGGGGGACGGCGAGAGTCGGACAGCAGAGATAAAGGCTTGTCATCACCCCCCAAGAGTCTGTCCTAGCTAGCCCTTGCCCCTCCTCACAGGACAGGGAAATACATGCTGTACTGCGGACTGAGCCCAGGGCCTTTGCATTGAGCAACATCCCAGTGCTTTTTAACATTTTGAGATAGGTAAGCTGGGTCCGGGCTTGCCACCCGCCAGAGCTGACTTCATCGTTGTCAGGGTAGTCCGGGTGCCCAGGGCGGGCAGTCACTAGCCGGCCCTGCAGGCTTTCCGCTGGACTGAGGTGTTTTGGTAGCAGCTGTAGGCAACGTGGAGTGGGGTGGGGATGGGGAGCAAGATCAGACCTGGATGTTGCTTTTTCCTCAGGGGCCAGGGTGGGCTGGAAATAGGACAGTCGAGAAAAGGCTGGGGCAGTGGCCGAGGTGAAACAAAATGGAGCTTGAGCTGGGCGGGGAGACCAGAGGCAGGGGCAGCTATATATTTAGAACAGTGTTTGACAGGGAAGAAGGCTGGGACAAGTGCTTTTGTTCCCACTCCTGATAGTGTGGACACGGGACCCCAAGGAGGGAGAAATCCTGTTCGTTGCTCTTCCACTCAGTCTTCTTGGGTCAAGAGAGCAGTTTATTTTACTGATTTGCTCTAATGCGGACTGAACCCACACAAGCTGGACAAATGTTTTAAGTGCTGAGCTACACTCCTCAGTCCTTTCTGAGGTCTTGCTTAGTTGTCCAGGTGTTGCTTGATCCTCCTGCCCCAGCCTCCCCAGTAGCTGGGATTATAGGCATGTGCCTCTGTCTGGCATCTGAAGGAGTAATTTAGAAACCCTAGACTTTGCTAGTATTGTGGAGACGAGACAGGGTCTCACTGTGTAGTTCAGGCTGGCCTTGAACTCATAGGAATCCTCCTGTCTCAGTCTCGAGATTACAGCTGGGATTACAGCTGTGTGCCTCCCGTTTCTGGATTAGTATGTTCTGATGAAGCCCAAGTTACCGCGATTCCAACTCCTCCTCCATCAGACTGAGAAAACAGCCTCACTGCTCCCCTGGAGCCCTCCCCAATAATAATGATAATAAAGCACAAGTCCTCTTTTTTATCTTTATGTCAAGATTTTTTAAAAAAGAACATTGTGAATGTGGGAGTAAGGGAAGGGATAAGACTTCTATGACTGACAGCAGGAGCTACAGGGACTGAAAGCTCCAGGAAATTAAAAAAAAAATAAAATATATATTTATACATTTATGTATATCACGGTATGCATGTGAGTCCCCGAGAAGCAGGAAGTAGCAGCAAGAAGCGACTAACACAGAGACGCGTGTGTGCAGCATACACATGCAATGCCATTCCTCTGGTCGAGGCAGCAGCAACCTCCCCCGCCCAAAAGCAAAGAAAAACTGATAAGAAACGTCTTCCCCCTTACAGAATAGGACCACCCAGTATTTTTTGCCCTGTGACCAGAAAAAAAAAAAGGAGAAAAAGCCAGGCGGCTGCCTTTAAGGCTGGCAGTAGCCTTTCCCACCCAGCCCTGCCGAAGCAGGACACATTATTTTTAACACTGAGGCCGGAGAGTTCCTGTCCCTCACAAATACTTCAGACGGTTGTGTCTGTAGGACCGACTCCCTTATTTTCTCGCTAGCACAAAGGCAGCTGGGATGAAAGACATCCACCTCCTGCTCCTTCTCAGATGGCCTCTAGGCAGTGGGTTTTTAAAAAGCCTGGAAAAATTCTGGAAGCAGCCCTAGGCAGGGCTAACAGGGTCTGTGCTGAAGCCTCCCACCCGCCGGGAATTAATGACCTAATGTTTTTGTAACTCAGAGGAGCTGCACTGTATAGCCTCCTCCACCAGGGGAAAGGGGACCCAATCCCTAGCCAACCCCCCAGCACATACACACACACATGGCTAAGGCACAGCGAGGGCGGGCAGGCATGCTTTGGCAATGAGGCCTCTCCAGAGGCCGTGGCATGAACAGCTGCGGAGAGGGTGTGGACGTGTGGAGCTCAGCACCTTTGGAGGTGAGGTGGGGGATGGGGAGAGTCGCTGGGCACCGGAGGAAACAGGAAGACCCTTGAGTCAGGCAGGAGACCAGAACCGAGGGGAGAGACTGGAGCAAGGGGCGGGGTCGGGAGAGACAGACCAGCGGTGTGGGCACCCAAGCCAACAGGAAGGGAAGGAGCCAGAGAGAGGAAGGGAGCAGGAAACAGGAAGTAGAGCAGGGAGAGGGGAGATTGGGAAGAAAGGAAGAGGGAATAAGGTCTCAGCAATGGAAACTCGGGGAGAAGAACGCAGGGGTGGGACGGAGGGACACGCGAGCCCCTGGGAGTCTCAGACCTTGACGAACACCAGGCGGGCAGAGTGCGCCAGGTCAGCCAGGTAGGCCAGCAGGTTGATGCCTGTCAGGACGGCCACCGCCAGCCTGCGGTCCCAGATGCACACGTTGTGGGTGTGTCTGGAGCCACAGCCCGAGTCCCAGTTCCTGCGGGGCTCGCCCCCGTACTTCTCGTTGAAGTGGTAGAGGGGCCAGAGCACCAGGGCAGAGGCGTACATGAGCACGGAGAGCAGGGCCAGACCCGACAGGAAGCTGGGGAAGGGGAAGGGCAGCACGTTGGTGCACTCGCCCAGGTTCAGCAGGATGGCCACGGCGGCCAGGATGAAGCAGATGGAGTACACCGCCACGCACCACTCCAGGGCCGGCGCGCGCTGGTACAGGTGGGGCTCGCTGATGAACACGAAGATGACGCAGGCCACGAAGGTCTCCAGCACCTTCAGCAGCCCGGGCACGGTGGCCATGTAGCCGGTGACCTCGCCTGGCCTCGCCCGGGTCCAGGCCACTTCGGTGGCGTACGCCAGGCAGGCCACACAGGAGAAGGTGGTGGCAGCGATGGCGTGGTCACGGGAGCGGCCGTGGGACATGAACTGCACGTAGGTGGTGGGGTAGATGATGGAGGACGTCAGGCAGAAGAGGGCAGCGTAGCAGGCGTAGGTGATGGGGAAGTTGCGCCAGGACAAGGGAAAGTGGGCCTGCAGCCCGCCCAGCTCCACCACCAGGACGATGAGGGTCACGGCAAAGCAGAAGCACCAGGTGAACATGGCCCAGTGTCCCATGGGCCCCGTGTAGGCACCCACGCTGGCCACCAGCGAGAAGGCCACACAGGTGGACACCAGCTGCAGCAGGCGGAGCAGGCCCAGGGGCTGGGTCAGGGCCCGTGGGGACCCCACGACGGTGGAGGACGACGTGGTCGTGATGGTCGTGCGGGTCACCGTCACCGGCATGGCTGGGGAAGGCAAAAGACAGCAGCATCTCAGGTACCCACCTGTGGTCCATCTGAGCGCTCAGGAGGCTGAGGCAGGAGTATAGCTCTGAGTTTGAGGCCAGCCTGGGCTACACAGTGAGACCCTGGCTCAAATTACCAGACTGACCTAACAATTACTATGACCGGATAGGAGTTCCCAGGACGTGGGGCTTTCTGTCTGCAAACAGGCTCACCCCAGTTCCAGGCTCCTCTGTGCCCACCCGTCCAGTCCCAGGATTCCAGGCCCCACCTCTCCCTTCCCTCCCCTCCTTCCTTCCCCGGGGACTCAGCGACTCGGACTGCACTCTCTGCCCAGTGAACCGACTTCCCTCTTTTGCCCAATGTGACCCTCGTTTCCTCCTCGCACCGGCTCCTGAAGAGATCAGCTCCAGGGCTCTGGCAGGCTTCCCACTCTCAGAGGCCAGGACTCGGTGCCCAGCACGATTCTGGTCTGGGGCACTGTAACCCAGAGAAGGCCACTTCCCAGCAACCCATCCCGGGTTTCCCAAGGGCTGGGAAAGTCGGCTCCTGCATTCCCGTGTCCAGGCCCCAACCCTCTCCTCTGGAGCCGGGCTGGGTGACCCACACCCGACCTGGTCCAGGTCCAGCAGGCCCAGACCTGCCACGTAGCTGCTCTTCCCTGTCCCAGACCCACAGTGTCCACTTCCTTGTCCCCAAACCCTTGGAGAAGCCAAAATCCTTTTTCACGGTGCAAAATTCCTAATCTGTGAGCTGACACAGCTGAAACCATCAGGGGGTGGCTAACAACCACAAGGAAATAAAACTTCCTTCCAGGGCCAGCTGAACAGCAAGGCAATGGCACAGGCTTTAACTGTTGCAGGGCATGGCGCCCAGAGGACACGCGAGCTGGACACTCCACGCACACACCTGTGTCTCTGGCCTCTCCTTAGAACTCAAGCTCCCACCTCCTCCCTCAGACCCGGTCCGGCCCAGCGCACTCACCAGCGGTTTTAGGTGGCCACGTGGAGGAGAAGGACCCGGCGGTGGAGGCGACTCAGCGGGACACTAGAGAGGCGGTCGAGGCACCTGGAAGAAAAGTCAGGACAGCTCGGGCCTGACTCCTCCCTCCAGGTC